TTTCTAAACTAGAAATATAATTGAAACACTGGACAATTCTATATCTTTTATAAGTTACGGTAGATAGACAAACGTTTTTGTACGGTGCACTTAGAAAGCACATTATTTGATGGAAAGCATAGCAAGGTTCCTATTGTGGTTAAGCCACTTGAAATGGACAACAGGTGTTGCCTTCCAAGACTACTTATTGCCGAAAAGGATTATCCTTTGGGTCCTGCTTTCCTAACACAGGCCACAGGTATTCATTTCAAGTAGTTAAACTACAACAGCACCCCATGCTATGCTCCTCAACCCTAATCTGCAAAAATTAGTAAATTTCAGAGTTGTATATCTTCGAATCTAATTAAGATAGATCTCATCGATAAAAAGTAAATGAAATCGTCTTGAAAATTTTATAAGTTCAGTGATACAAAAAGCTATTTATATATATATACACGGTTTTGATTAAAAACAAAAATGATAGTAAAGGAAATATTGGAAGAATTTACCCCACGTAGAGGATAATTGCTGCCTCGGTTGCTTAGAAACCCTACAGTAGGTGCACCGTTATCGCTCATGAACAGTACCACGCTGTTCTCCAGCATGCCACGATTTCTCAATGCGTCCATCACCTCACCGACGCCTTGATCCATCCTCGATATAACAGCTACAAACGACAAATGAACACCCGGTATTAACGTATGAAATCGTTTTTCCGTAGGAAGAAGAAAACAGTACAGTTATATTTATAATATTTAAAAAAAAAATGTATAAGTACCGGCTTGGATTCTTCTTTCCAGGTCAAGAATGTACGAGAATCTCGCGATGTCTTCGAGCGGAGCTCGGATCAATTGATTGTTATTTCCTCTGTGGGGTGCCAAGTGTGCCAAGTACAGAAACATTGGTTGATCGACGTCGTGCTGGTTGATCAGTCGGACTGCTTCGTCAGTGAAAATGTCTGTCGAGTATTTGCCGAGTGTGTCCCATGCTACTGTGAGATTCCGTCTCATGTCGAACCCCCTGAATTCACTGAATTGCGGATCCTGAGAATCATTTAACACTTTCTGTTTTCAGAACTGCATTTATTCAATTTTATCGTCTGACTTCTATTGTGTTCTCATTGAGAGGATGAAATAATCAATTATTATTATTATCATTATAATCTAGCTAATTCTCTTAAATATTAAATTATTAAATTAGTTACGAAGGTACTCACCGGTTCTTGTACAAAGTGCGTGTAGTAATCTTGAAGACCGTTCCAGTAACCGAAGTGCGTGTCAAACCCGCGTAATGTCGGGGTATATTCCGTCCTATAATAACCCAAATGCCATTTTCCCACTGCATGCGTTTTGTAACCAGCTTCTTTTAAGTACTGCAAAGGAACATTAATTATAACTGACTACTATTAATATAACAGATATTCTTCTTATTATTCTTTGCCGATTAACTAACAATTTTAGGGACTAAGAGCTAAGATGCTGCTAATTCAATTATAGCTTCGCTATTATACAATGGAGTTAGTATTTCACATTTCATTTGAACTGATAAGATGGTAAGTTTATAATAATAAATTAAATTCAGGAAAATGTCAATAAGTAACTCGGGAATCTTCCTGGGTAGCTGTAAGATTCGATAAGGTGAGAAACCTACCTGGGGAAGTAGCTTTTCATTTAACGGAAGCCCTCGCGGTTCGGCTGGCATGAGAACTGAATGTTGCATGCCGAGATGAATCGGATTTTTTCCAGTCATTAGAGCAGATCTACTCGGTGTGCAAAGTGCAGGTACGTAATGCTTGTTTAGAATAACACCGTTATACGCCAGGGCGTCGATGTTCGGTGTAGGGATTTGATCCGATCCGTGAAAGCTCACATCGTTCCACCCCTGAGTTTTCAAACAATTCTTAACACGTTAAGCAACATATCTTTTGTATATACATTTATGTCTCACTCACCATATCATCAGCAATGATGAGAATGATGTGCGGTTTCCGTTTACTCGGCCGAAGAGTCGCATCTTCGTCGAAGTTGTCCTCGTACTTCAGTTTTGCTGACGATGATGGAAAATTGTTCTTTATTTTTGATTTAGAGAATAAGGACGAAAAGAAAATCGCGTCCACGCTTAACATCAAGAATATCACGATTAAAAGCTGTGCTATCATCGCGACGTTCATCTCGAGAACAACTGCAACAGACAAAACTACCATTAAACGGTTGCATTCCTTTCTAAAACTTACCGGATTCAAGTTGAACTTTGTTATGTGCGTTTACACCCCACGCCCAGACAACGTTAAGCACTAAACCTGTTTTGCCTTTCCGTTTAGCCGTTAATTATTTTATGAGTCATTAAGTGTTTTAATAATGTTCATTAAAATTTGTTTTTGGTAACGAGTAATATTTAAATATATTCTTTTATGATCTCCAAACTGTTTAGAAATTTGTTAATAGAAAATTATACTTTTTTAAATTGCACATCGTCAGCAGCCCGAAATGAAAATGAACATGAATGAATCCGAAATATTAAATTCTTCTACACTATTAATTATAGAACCGATATAATATCAGTTGTATAGAAACGGGACCGACGTATTTAATAACATTTATGGCAATTTATTATTTAACAATTTATGGCATTTTTCGGTTCTCGATAATTGTTTTAAGAACCGGAAGCCACATCACAACTTCAACCCACATCAACCCTTGGTCCCAAATCTTCTCGTTCGAATTCGATAAAATCCACAAGTTCACTAAAAATTTTCCCTTCACTTCCCAGCAGATTAAGAAAAAAGAACAAAGATAGAGAGGGTGAAGTACTCTTACATTGATGAAAGATGCAGAAATTCATTGTATGTCGTATTATTCGCGGTAAACTAGCCATTTTTTCCGTTTACGCCCGGGGAACATCTTTCCTCCACGGAATAAAAGAGATTCGCCGGCCGTTCTTTGGCAAACGCGAGAACCGACTGGCTGGGGAAACTCGAGACGTGTCTGTTTATTACCACTTTAGATTTTCCGTACGGGGAGCGACGGGACCGAGCGAGAAGAGGATCTGGAGCGTAACGAAAGTGCCGCGGCTACGGGGGAGGAAAACGATAGAGCCAGCCGCAAAAATGTACGCCGCGTGAAAAATTCTACCTTTCTTTCTCTCCTCGAATCGGCCTGATGGATCCATGCTTACGTGAGTCTGTCCTACCGCAAAGATTCTTATCTCGAAGGATTTACAAAGTATCAAAAGTATTAATGAACGTACAATAAATAACAAGATGTAAGAGAAGGCTTACACAGATTCAATTGTTATGAAT